CTGGTTGGAGGAGAGCGGTGCATTGTGGGAGGTGAGCATCTGCACCAGGATGTGCAGGGCGGAGGTCGTGAGCCCGGCGGTGATGGCCCAGGTGAGGGGCAGCGGCAGCATGCTGTAGGTGGCGAACAGCGTGAAGAGGACGTACCCCACGCCGTCCCCCAGGAGCCCGAAACCCAGCCCCGCCGCCAACATCTGCAGTACCATCACCATCCAGCTGAGGGCGCCGCTCCACTGCAGGTACGCGTGCGACGTGGAGTCTTTACGCACCACCACGAGCGCGCAAATCACCGCCTCAATACCCGTGAAAAGCCCCAGAAGGGTGCCTTTAATGGGGTCCATGGGCGAGGAGGCGAGGGTGAGGTGGAGGACCAGCAGAGTGATCTTCGTCACTATGTCCAGGATGTTCATCACCACCACAGATTTACGTCTTTGCCCGAGGAAGTAGCGCTGGTAGAGACGCTCCAGGTCTCGGGATTTGAAGGCGTTGCGCAGCGTGGGGAAGATGACGCCCCGATACGTGTAGCCCCAGTTCAGGAAGAAGTCAGAGTTACTGGGAGCGCAGTCGATCTGAAAGGAGGGGGAACCCGTCAGAGAGCTCAACACAAGAAGACTCACAAACACATTAAGAGCAGACATGGCTTTAAACCCCTGATGCTCATTGCGATGTGTTATCTCTGGGACTCTGGATCACATTGAGCTGGTCTATTCAATCAAAACCAACAAGAAGCCAAAAACTACTTGAATGTAATGTGTTGTTGGAAGACTGAGCTCGGCATTGAAAAATGAAGTTTGCAAAACATTATTGTTATGTCTTCTTTTGTAGGGAAACAGCTATTCAACGTTGATCGATATAGAGCCGATAGCTTTATCCCCCAAAAGCTCCTCAGAAGTTATTAGTGTCAAATGTGATGATTGACTAGTCATTTATTGCATATATTAGAGCTGCTCAATTAATCGTATTTTAATCGCAATTACGATTATGGCTTGCAACGATTATGAAAACAACATAATCGAAATTAAAAAAAATGTTTTTATTGGTTTTTCAGTTGAATTATAATTAAAGTTCAGGGTAATAACTGTTAAAAACATATTTTTTTCTTCAATAAATCGATGTTTTCAAAGTAAATGGATAATCGTTTTTAATAATCGTGATATCAATTATTGACCCAAATAATCGAGATTATGATTGTTGCCATAATCGAGCAGCCCTATCGCATATAAAGAAACATATGTGCAGGTTACACCTCTGTTGTTAGGAGGGGTTCCAGACTCAGACTTTTTGCACTATTTTTGTATTTTCTTCGTTTTTGTGTTATTCTCTAAGCGTCTTTGAGTTTTTAGAAATCACACACAATAAAACCTTTGAATCTTTGAAGAGCCTATAAGTTGCAGCTCTATTATCAGGTTACACCTCAACTGTTAGAAGGGTGAGTCTATAAATACTAAGAGTGTCAGCTCACCTGCAGGAAGCCCAGGTCGCTGCTGGCGCGCGCCGGGAACACCTTGGTGCCCCCGTTGTTGTGCCCCCCACCCACCGAGGTGCGGGTCTTCTCCTGCGGGTCGTAGGGCTCGTGCTTCACCTCCACTCCCCCGCCCTGCTCGTGAATGAACCTCTGCTCCGTGATGTGCCGCACGGCGTTCTGCCACAGCAGCCGCTTGGGTCTGCTGGGGTTGATGGTGTACAGATCCTCGCTGGCGCTGGAGCACCGCACCTCCGACAGCTCCATCTCTAAATCCTATAATCACCTATGCAAAATCCACTTGTTCATGTCTCTCTACATCAACATGTGTCCTCTCTGTGAAAAGAGACTCTGAACGTTTCAGGAACAAAGATTCTCTCTCTTTTTGTCCTGATCCATTTCTATAAAAATGAGCTGATCAGATTTTGGCCACTTTATGATGTCATAACGATGTTTTGTCTTGTGTATCCATTAGCCAATCAGCAACCAAGGTAACCCCCCCCTTATCACCTGAATCTCCTCCTAGAGCACCATTGAGTTCTTTGTAACCAAACCTCTCTCAGAGGGGCGTGGGGAGGGGCTCCTTGTTTTCATCTAAAGTAACAGACAGAGAATCAGCACTTTGGAAACATGGCTGAAACAGAGGGGATTATGGGTAATGCTGCAATGATCTGTTTGGTGTTTCAGCCAATCAGAGACAGGTTCTGGATATATCTGAGACCTGGGATATATTGATGAAGATCAGTATAATAGGGGACCTTTAATATCCCTCCCTCGTGGTTATCTCCGGGGGGCGACGTCCTCTCGTGCGCATGGAACCGGGGGCGCGTGCTTCTCTCTCGGGTTGGAGGTCATCGTCCATCGTACATAATGCTCTCGGTTCTGTATTTCTCTTTGTAATGTTTCCAATTCACTCATATTTGTGGTGTGTTTTGTAAAAGCGACTTAAAAGCGCTATAAACGTATTATTATCCTCGTCAAAATGAAGCATCTCCAGGATCTAACCAAGCATCTCCATCCTCAGCATCAGGATGCTCCGTGTCCTCGCGCCGCACCATGAGGGCGCGCGGAGAGACAACCAGGCGTCCACACACACACAAACACACACTGCAGGGGAATCTGTGGATTTAACCCGAAAATATGTGTTTGTTTAGTTGGGGAATAAAAGCCCACAACAAAGAGACATCCGGTAAAGCTTCCACACACAGAGAATCTTTACATGGTCACCCACACATGTCTTGGGTCCGTTCACTGTGTTGAAATAAAGCTCACAAGAAAGGAGAACTCCGGTGAATGTTTCCAGACACTGCAGAGAAGCTTCACACGTTAACCCGAAGATGTGTTTCTGAACACCGATGGGTCCAGTCACGGTGTCACTTTGGAGGAAATAAGCCACAAATAAATAAGAGCAATCCGGTCAATCTTCCACTCACACTGCAGGGAATCTTTACATGATAACCCGGAAATGTCTTGGGTCCGTTCACTCTGTCATTATTTCCCAATGTGCTTTAAAAACACACACACACACACACACACACATCCCGTTGTTCCCGTCCTGACTGTTCACATTACTCAAATCACGTTCATTCCCGTAACGATAAATAGAAATCCAGCACGACAAAAATAAAATAAATTGAAAAAGGAATAAAATCCGGTTGTAGGATCCGCGCGCGGAGCCGGGAAGAATTTCAACTTGTTGTTGCTCGAGAGGGCTCGTGCGGTCGAGTGCGCTTGAATGCAACACCTGGATGCGACGAAGAGAAGGGGGGGTGGAGCTGTGCGAAGACACACACACACATACACACACTCTCACACTCGCAATCCTGTCTGAGGAGCAGCGTCCATGGAAAGTGTCCAAATGACAATAATGCGCGCGAGGATGAGAGTATTCCTCCCCCCTTTTCTTCTTCTTCTTCGTCGCCTCCTTCTCTCCCCCTTCTTCTTCTTCTTCTTCTGGTTTAAAGGGCGTGCAGCAGCCGCGTGGAGATGTGCAGAGAGCGCGAGGCTGGTCAGCTGGCTCTGCTCTGACGTCACTGTCACCTATGTATGTGTGTGTGTGTGTGTGTGTGTGTGTGTGTGTGTGTGTGTGTGTGTTTGTGTGTGTGTTTCCATTCCCACGCTATTCTTCTCCTTTGTCTAGTATTCTTACCTTTCTTCCATTCCCATTAACTCAAATATTCCCAAGATGCTTCCTTTCTTACTCACATCTCATTATTTCCTGTCCTCTCTTTTCCCCCATGTAAAGGCAAGGCCAGGCAAGTTTATTTATATAGCACTTTTCAACACAAGGCAATTCAAAGTGCTTTACAAAAAATGAAAGACATTCAGAAAATGGCATTGAAAATCAGTCATTAAAAAGAAAAGCTAATCTAAAGGGGACCTATCATGCAAAAGTCACTTTGTGATGTCTTCTCTCAATCACCATGTGTCCCCGGTGTGTCCCCGGTGTGTCGGGGAACTCACGCAGCGTCAGGGAATAAAACCCTCTCTCTTTTCCTCCGTACCCAAATCTCTAAAAACGGGGGAACAACGGAGCTGATCCAGATTTGCGTCCGATATGACGTAACATCTGAAATGTGGACCCACGGCCCAATCAGAAACATTGCTATCAGAAACAATGCCCGACTGTTTTGGACGTAATATGGTCGGTGTTTACATTAGCATGGCTAACACTCCGAGCTAACCTGTACTGGAGAGCATGTGTGTGAAGAAGCAGGAAGTAAAAAGGAACTCACCTTGTGGTATAACCGGCAAGAGAGAAAGCCTTTGAGCTCCAAACTGTTTCAAAGAGAATCCTTGATAATCCATGATATGGCGTTTCATCACGGCAGCATTTAGTTTAGACAGTAGCTGCCGGGTCCCGCATGAGCTCAGACCCTCCTCTTTAAAGCTTTATACCCGAATCAGCTCTTTAGAAACAGGAAGTGAAACAGAGGGATATGAGGCATGGCTAGAATGATCTGTTTGGTGTTTGGAGCAAAACACTTCATAGACATGTTTTTATATATGTATATATCTGAGACCTCTGCTATTGCCTAACAGTAGCCTGATAGGTGACCTTTAAATGAAATGGACGTTTCTAAAGCTACTCTATTGTCACTACACTTACTCAGTTACATCAACATGGTTTCCAAAGTGCCAGAATAACCAGATTTCTCTTTTCCTTTATCCCCATATCTAACATTTCTCATCTTTCTTTCATCCCTTTGTCAATAACTCCCAATTTGTCTCGAGATTCTTACCTTTTCACTAGTGATGTTACGTGTTGCGCAGAGGCTTCGGAGCGTGTGTCGAGTAATCCCCGAAGCTTTTTGTGAAGCATGTATCGAGGCTTGTATCTTTTTGGGCCAGTGACGTCATCGATGACAAACGAAGCCTCGCTGCCTGTCGATACCACGTGACTGCTTCAGGAAGTGCTTTAGATCGGTTGAACCGTTGAACCACAACGCTCATAATACCCATGGATGTATACTAAGAACCATATTACCCCTCCTGTACCCGGCGGGCCCGGTGACACGATGGACTCAAGAGAGCTCAGACCCTCACTCATATAGAGGTTGGAACATGTCATAAGTATAAATAGATGCAAGCATAAATACAGTTTATGAATATTATTAAGGAATACAAATCCCTCTTTGCAATGTGTACCAGCCTCCTTAGGCTTTTCAATCACAATCATTCAACTGGAATAAAAACAATATTGTTAACATGAAATTATGATTTTATGTTCGTTGTTTAGAGTTATTCTACGGCTTTACTCATTGGGAACTTGGTATGAGATACAGCACACTGTTGAGATGTCCAATCTGCCTGTTGTACACACTTTGACCAGCAGGGGGTTTGTGTTCAGATGAAGCCCATGATGAAGCCTCATGAGATGAAGCCCATGATGAAGCCTCATGAGATGAAGCCCATGATGAAGCCTCATGAGATGAAGCCCATGATGAAGCCTCATGAGATGAAGCCCATGATGAAGCCCATGATGAAGCCTCATGAGATGAAGCCTCATGAGATGAAGCCCATGATGAAGCCCATGATGAAGCCTCATGAGATGAAGCCCATGATGAAGCCCATGATGAAGCCTCATGAGATGAAGCCCATGATGAAGCCTCATGAGATGAAGCCCATGATGAAGCCCATGATGAAGCCCATGATGAAGCCCATGATGAAGCCTCATGAGATGAAGCCTCATGAGATGAAGCCCATGATGAAGCCTCATGAGATGAAGCCCATGATGAAGCCTCATGAGATGAAGCCCATGATGAAGCCCATGATGAAGCCTCATGAGATGAAGCCTCATGAGATGAAGCCCATGATGAAGCCCATGATGAAGCCCATGATGAAGCCTCATGAGATGAAGCCCATGATGAAGCCTCATGAGATGAAGCCCATGATGAAGCCTCATGAGATGAAGCCCATGATGAAGCCTCATGAGATGAAGCCCATGATGAAGCCCATGATGAAGCCTCATGAGATGAAGCCTCATGAGATGAAGCCCATGATGAAGCCCATGATGAAGCCCATGATGAAGCCTCATGAGATGAAGCCCATGATGAAGCCTCATGAGATGAAGCCCATGATGAAGCTCATGAGATGAAGCCCCATGATGAAGCCTCATGAGATGAAGCTTTTGCGAACCAATTGGCTGGAAAGCTCAAAGCTTCATCTCGCCATCACTAGTGTTTACGCCTTTATTTTGTTCAATTTAACTGAAATGGACTCCAGTACTTTTCTAAAGCAGAAGACATCATCATGAATTGCGTATGGCACATGGATAAATCGAGTACAATACTTTCAAACACATTCACAGTTTTAATTTTAAACAAATTAAGAGTAGCCTGTCCTTCACAGCCGCTCCTGAGTCTCAAACAGATCAACAGAACAGAGCTCAATCAGTGAAAACAGGTGTGCTCAATTGGGCCGTACCATGTTGACCAGGAGCAGGGGTAACACTAATTCCTTATAAATTAAAAATGTCAAAATGGGCCATCGAAAAACACGGCAATCACCGTAGGGAGACTCAATCTGAAAAACAAACACCAAGAGTTACAGAAGGGTGAGGGCAGACCTCGAAGGAAAACACCTATCTTGTTTTACGTTTGACTTTAAAGTTGAATTTGGGGTTTTGCAATAACGGGCCATCGGAACAATGGACGGTCCCCAAAGGGAGTTGAATTCTTTCATGGGCAGAGCGTTTAGTACAAATGAAAAACAAACCCCGATATTAAAGGTGGGGTAGGTACGTTTCAGAAACCGGCTCGAGTAACATTTGAAAGTACACAGCCGAAAAGAATCCGCCCCTTCCTTCAGACTTCCTTACAGAGCACCTCATCCAACACACATTGTTGCGACCTGGCTCAAAAGGCCACAACAAAAAGGAGACACAACATGTCAACGGGTAGGTAAAGGTGTTTATTTGCACAACACTGGTCAATTCAACACATTGGTTATACTCATCAGAGCCGGGTGCCT